GTTTCCTATGACACTGTTAACTATACTTGCACTACACATATATTTTTTTTTTTGCGTGGTTTTAATTTTCGATGTTTCGAATACTTAACAGAGACCTTGTGCTAAAGCTAATGTTGGTCAATCAACTGTTACAATTCGGGGATTTGATTCCCAGAGACGTGCTAGAAAAAATTATGTCTTATGAAACCAATGACACGAATTTGTTCTTGGTGTACGCGGCAGGTTTGTCATATTATTTGATTTTTACTAATTCCGTTTACCCCTAACATAAGTTATAAATATTGTAACCTGTACGTACTATATTTATTATATAGACGAAGTATAATAGTTTTGCAAAACTCATCATGCATGCATCAGTATAAAGAAACCCCTCGCCTTTTAAATTACTCTTAAAAGAATATTTTCTTCGGAATGTCCGAGTTAATTGAAAACATCTCTATCTGTCTCTTGGGCACGAGGAGGAATGAAAATTGAAAACTGTCAAGTTTGTAGTCATTTTCTGACAACATGAAATTTATTTATCATTTAAGTGACTTTTCCCCCGTTTAAAGTTAAATAAATTTAGTGTATTTTGATTAAAGACGAAAACAAACATCTAGCCACGACAATTACTCGTACTGATGGCGGATTACTGTTCAGAATGTCAAAATTTGAGGAAGTCCAAGGTTGTGGCGTCACACTTTTAATTATCTTCATTGAATGATTTTTTGTTTTTATCAATATCATCCTCATCGCCTATTAAGGTTGATTAAAGTCGGTGTCTTTAATTTTTTGGACACATCGATCAATTAAATTTAGTTACCTTGTGTTATGAATGCATAAAACGTTTTATGTATAAAGTCATCGTAAGATGTTTTTCGTAAGATTACATATGAACACGACAGACGTACTTTAAAGTTTACCTTCCAAATGGTAGCAAAATTGTAAATACATTTATATATGTATTTATATTAAACATAGCTTCGCCCAAAACGTATTTAACAGCGCACGGTATGTTAAACACGTTAAGGAAACCCACACAGTGATTTGAAATAAATCTGAAATTCAACTAACCGAACTTGCGTTTACGCTTACCGTTTTCCGAATAACGCATTTAACTAAAGATGGTTAAATATTTAGATGCTTTATTTAAATGTAGTACGGACGATCATCATCATCATACCAGCCGTAGGACGTCCACTGCTGAACATAGGCCTCCCCCATTGACTTCCATTCGACCGGTCGTTAGCGGCCTGCATCGTCCACCTTGTGGGAGGCCTTCCTACGCTGCGCTTGCCGTCACGTGGTCTCCACTCGAGAACCGATACGGACGATATTTAACTTTTATTACATGGACACAGAAACACAAACAACATGGTCAAAAAAACCTATTAATATTATAAACACTACGCTAACAACAACTCCTTCAATATAAAAGACTAGACAAACTGTTTGCTATGATTTGTTCAATATTATTTCAAAAATGTTTAACGAAAATATATAATTACAGTAAGCCGATATCCGCAATGCAGGCGTTCATCCTGAGGATGCAAATGCGACTTTTGCAATTGAATTGGAGCAGGTAAACTGAAGATCTAACCGACGCGCCGTTTCGTCTACTAAAAACGGTGACGAATAATTTCGAGCGGGTTTTGCCTCGAAATAAAATAGAATAAAGCACTCGAATAACAAAAGAACTTAATGTTTTTATTCCAAAGAAAGTTCCAACTTGACAGGATGGAAATAGGTTGAGACAACTTAACTCGTCTGAACCTACTTTTAAAGCGAGCTTATTTGGACCATCGTTGATAGGTGAGTCCGTCGCGATTTCAGCGATCTTGAACACTATGGAGAAGTGATAGTTCATAACTATCTAGGCTATCCTAATAGGCGATAAGTGTTAATGATCGTGTATACGACCACGAAGCGTTTGTGAACATTAACAAATCATAACTTCAAACGTACCGTACAAATGTGGTTTTCGAAGGCAACAAAACTTGTTATAATTACATATATTATATCATTAAAATAGTAATAAATGAAAGACACATTTTAATTTATTTGGTATACTATGACTACAATAAAGTTAATTTCGTGCACAGATAAAATTGTTCTTAGCTCGTTGATCACGGAATGTTAGCAATGCATTGCATTACACCGGCCATGACACGCTTGGTTACATTCGAAGTTAATATAAAATTGACTTTAGCACATCATAACTAATTCCAAATATTGTTATCCAAAACTGTTTAATGCTGTTATGTGTTCGGTATCATTTTAATTTACCAAACTTTTATATGTTTTATATAAATAATTTTGGCTATCTAAAATTCTTAGAGGCCTAAATATTCATTACGACTGGAAACAAATTAACGCATATTTAGAATTAAAGACAATTTCGCAATTAATTTTAATTTGACACAACGTTTCCCAGACTGACGGATTTTAATTAAAATTGCTTCTACCCTTTGCTAAAGGATTATTACGGTATATTCGAAGAATTGTTAGCGGGAAGCAATTGACTCTCAGCAGAGGAAAATCAATGCAGGTTAAATTGGTCGGTCTGCACATGACGTCCAGGTTAGATTGCGGCGCTTGTCGAGTGGAGGACGCTTCTGCCGCGCAATTTCCAACTTCAAATATACATGTGAACTGCATATAATACTATTAACGTTGGAAGGATATATTGCATGATTAAATTATATATTGACATTAAAAATATTAAATTATATGTCTTTAATCAATGTTTTCATCAATAGCCGATTCATCAGAACTTATATTTTCCTCACACTTATATTTTCTTGGCTTAGAGAAAAATTCGTCCATCATATGCATATTTTATGTAAGAGGGTGGCAAACTAATTGTAATATAACTAACGAAAGGACGACTAACGTAGGATTGCAAATGCGTTGCCACCTTATAATGCCAGCTTTTTGGGATGTCATGGTACTTTTTTTACGCAAACGAGCAGGTGAACCACCTGATGGTAAGACTTCACCACCCATGGATACTTGCAATAACAGAGGAGTGCACTATTGCTTTGTTGGTCTTTGAGGAACAAATAGGCTCTTTTCTTGAAGGTCCCTAAGTCGTATCGGTCTGGAAATAGAGCTGAAGAGAATTTAATACAGAACTTGGTTGTGCATGGTAGATAGTTAGGTAAAAACGCATAGTCATGTACTACCAATCATTGAGGTGGTAGCGATGGTATTTGGCAGTTTGTCGCGTCGTACGGTGCACACCCTCAGCACCCTCTCATCGGATACCAACATACATTTAAATTTTACATTAAGCACCAAATATTACAGTGCAATATAGTTAACATCGATCACAAGGTTACATTTTACCTCGGAGTGAAATTACTGTTACATTAACGTGCAACACAGAAGATACCATTGAGTTAGGGTGTGTCTGCAGTTCTTACTTGACATATATCTACCACGAAGTGGCCCGATGTGTATCGTGTCTATACGCGAACTAATGATTGCAATTTTATGTGGAAACTTAATGACGGCTTTCACAACACATAACTAACGGCCGCTCGCAGAGGGCCGTTACTACTTAATTAATATAATTTAATTTGAGTAGTTCAGTTTAAAAAAAATTGTATGACTACACTCACTTTATAAGGAAACGAACTTAACACTAGGTACGAATTTAAATTTGTTGAAACCTCTAAGGACTAACGGTAAAGTTAGTTGGTCATTAAAATAAAAAGAAAGTAGTAATAATATAGTAATAAAATATTAGATGATTTTAATAAACCACTTTATTTCAAGTAGGATCAGATTTATTTTGAATCTGCTAATTTATAATTTGTTTTACAGACATCGTCATCTCATAATATGGTGGAAAAATAATTTGAGCTCTGTTTCCCATACTCTATTGTGCCTTAGACGGGAAATAAAATACAGTTTAAGTTTAGTATAAATAAAAAACATAAAATATATAATATCCTTCTGTGATGGACATTTACTACCAAATCACGGTACTTATCATTTTCATCAGTATTATGGCTACCGATCCAGATGCAAACCATTTCAACGGGTTTAGCCTGCTTGGTTCCAACACACGCAATGCAGGTTAGGTTGCCTTAAAATGCTTGCTCTGAACTTAGTAGTTTCAATCATAAACCATTCAAAATTTATTTTCGTTTAGAACAATACTTTATGAGGATGTAAGACAGTGGTATGATAACACCTGCTTTCCGCAAAACCCTATAGTATAAATAAATTTCGAATATCGAAAAGTATTACTCATGACTTAACAAAATACACACATCAACGTACCTTTTTAAATTGCCTGATAATAATTTAAGAAGACAATTCAATTGACAGTGTTTAAATCTATAAAAGAACTTCACGAAGACGACATTTAACCGTAAAAGTGGGCTCGTGTGCGAAACAGTCGCATAATAATAACCGGTTGCTTTTTAAATATGCCGTTTAAAAGCAAACCAATGTACGTTGACTTGTTGTGCCCGCATGTGCCCATGCCCCGTGGCCTGCACTGTGCATCAGTGTAAAATGGCTTCTATTGTTATTAGCACCGCTTATTTATCAATAATGTAATAACGAAAACACGACTCGCGCTGGAAAATAATTCATATGGAAGTTGTACAACCACGATATGACAGAGAAGTGCGGGTTTCCCAAAGGTTTTTCAATTAACAACATGGAACGCACATATTTTGTACACATCTTTCCTCCGAGGACATTGAACCCACATCGACGGGCACAATTGTAATCAGCAAGTAGACAATGCTTTAGGTCAGCTAAAATAAAAAAAAAAATAATGTAGCAGCCCACGCCAACGGTATTTTATATACAGAAAGTCAACACTTCAGGAATATCTCGGTACACAAGCCCCTGTATTCATTTATGCTTTCAAAGCTAAGTTAAATTTTAAATGCAGGTTCCCTCAAAATGTTTGCTCTGGACTTAGTAGTTCCAATTAAAAATCATTCGAAATTTATTTTCGTTAAAATCTCTCATAGCTGAACGTTAAGTGTGCGAAGTTAATCAGCAACATAATGTAAAAACGGAATTGGCCACAGTTGACGGTCCCTGAGGTAGGAGCAAAATGAGTAGCATAGTTGGAGGCGCTTTAGAGTTTGTTCGCCTTTTACAAGAGCGTCTCCTGAAAAGGACACAGCTGTTGCATTTCATTCACGCGTCCCTTTCAGCCCCGTATATCGTTGGAAACGTTTTCACCACATAAAAAATCAGCCCAGACTATTCAAGAGTACAAGAGATTCATTACCTTAGAGTAGCCTCCGAAAGCTGCTCTGTGTAGTTAGTCTGTTTAGAAAATACTTCGGATCGCACCAGCACATACAATTTCGATTAGACGCTCGTTGCTTTTTTAAGAGCAAAGTAAGCTCGACGCATGTTTATAAACAAAAATCCGCAAAGCTATGGCTAAATCGCTTGTAATTTAAAAAAACACGAACCAAATTGTTCCAGTAGATGGCTGTGATAATAGTTTGCGACAGTTTACGACTGTACTGGTGGAATCTTAGTACTCCCATAAATTTCGTTTGAGTGAACCGGTTGCGTTGAAACAAACCTTGTTGCCCCAGGCTTAGCTTAGTTAGCAGTGAAATGAAACTGCATCACAATCAGATAAGTAGTTTCGGAGTTTTAGCGAACATACAGACCGACAAAATTATAAACTTATTTCAAAAATGGTTCTAATGGATCCCATAACTCATTTTATGATACCCTACTTAATTTTTTCATAAATATATCCAATATTCACGACGATTGTACTCTTTTAGTATAGTATAGAAGAAGTTGAAGAACATCATAAAGAGACTAAGTTTTCGAAAGGACATAACTCCTATCGAGGATTACTGATTATTCACTATGAACTGTTTATTTAGTGGATATTATAAATACTTGGATGCTACGATTGTGTAAATCGAAAGATATAACACTTTATATATATTTACAACACTCATAGGGTTTTTGGTGCGTATACGCAATTTTGTCTCCTCTATTTCGTAACAGAAAAGCTTTCCGTTGTTTTTACACGCGCGGTCAAAGCATTTCATTTAAAGTTCAACGCAACAAGGTCATGCATCGCGTCATATTAACATTTGTTGGTTTTAATCGCTAGTATGTACCTATATTCCAAAATACCGTTACAATTGCAAAACGTTACATGACAATAGCACTGTGGACAGTTGTGCTCGCATTTGTTTGTAAACGACGCTAAAATGATCCGTATTACCCTTGAAATAAAGTTGTCTTCGGCGAAGCAGTGATCACTACGTTTATGGGCACTGCATATTGTAATGGACCTTTTTAGAGCACTGCACGGCTTATATGCAGAACGCTACGAGTTCGTACCGAAAGTAATGTAGTGAATATCATGTTTATAATTTCAATATTTTGCACAAACTTACCATTCACATGAATGAATGATGAATTCGTAGCTGAATCATGTGGACAGCATGCATAAGAAATATCACATTTATTTTGCCTCTCGTGTATCATAAGTATCTTGTAGATTTTTAATTGAAATCTAAAATCATGTGTGGGCCGGTGCCATCAAGGCAGATATTTCGCTTTCGCAGGTGTGCATGGGCAATTATAATAGAAAATGGAGTAATGTTTGTAATTTTAGCGTCAAAACTGCAAAGACTAGAAGCAACGACGCCCCACGAGTACACGCTAAACGGCGTCGCGGCGAATCGATACCGACGCTAGTCCCCAATTCTCGGTACATCTGACGTTTTCTTTTTATAGAAGTAGCGATCTCGATCGGGGCACAAGTAGCGCTCGGAGCGGCTTGCGCTTCCAAGTGAAATAAATATTCTTAAATATCCGTAGACACGCAACACGGTATCGCGTTATTAAAAAAAACCGTGCTGTACCGCAAACGCTACGATTTGCACAGTAATTATGGCAAATGGCAAACACAAATAAACAGTTTACATTAAAACGTGTGGCAGTTTTAATGGGACTACATTAATTTATTCGATACTTCCTATCGATACCTGTTGTAAGAAATAGTACTGTTGAATCATTCACGACATACGAAAAGATTGAAGAGCGGTTCTACCGCAGCTGTGTTTGTGTTTAAAGAGCCATTAGACCTAACAAGGGTCCCTTATCGTACTTGTTTAGCCTAGATACAAATTGAACACGTCCAGATGATGATAATATTGCGCTATCTGATATCTCAATGTGACAGTTAAATTCACGATTGTTCTGTATTGTCATAAATGCGACTTTGAACAAAATTATGATGAATTTTCGAAATAAATTAATTATTTCGCAGTAAAAAATGAAATATTTACACAGTAATTAAATATTTGTATATCAATTCTAATATTTGTTAAATATTTAGTTATTTATAGTTAAATGTCAAATATTGGTTAAATATATTAAACAAATTTTTTTGCGATTAAAAGAAAAGTACCTGGATGAACGAAGTAAAAAAAATAAATGTGTAAATGATCGTGACACGAACCGCGGCCTTCTGTTTCCGGGTCGCGTATTATTAACCGAGCTATTATAAAATTTTATTTTCGGCGAAATTAACCCTCATATTCGAATGATATTCTTCATGCCCTGAAAACAGGGATAAAGCGACATTTTCAAAAATAAAACCTAGCCAGATCGATTTTTAGCCCCCGAATCTACGCACATACTAAATTTCATGAAAATCGCTGGAGCCGTCTCCGAGATTCCCATTATATATATATATATATACAAGGATTGCTCGTTTAAAGGTATAGATAGATTAATGAAAATAAATTATGTCCGCCGATAATATGACTTACGTTAATCAATTATATGCATGTGTATTGTATATATAGATAGTATAGAAGTATCTGCCTAATAGTGGAATTTATCTGTAATTCTGTACACACTGTGACTATTTGTTTCTATCGCAACCTCTTAAGCCTTAGGGCCCTATTACGCTGTATAACATTGATTATGAAAGTAGAAAAAGTATCTTAATTTACAGTTAACACGGTTTACAGCCTATTTCTATCTTTGATTCAATTCAAATCCGTACAGAACTTCATTATACTTTTGTACATGAACCACTTCAAAAACATTTTGATTAAAATATAAAATATAAAGAGACCTAAAGAAATTATCGATACAAAAATAGAATGTAATCGGATTCAAGTCTTCAGAAATTTGAAATCATAAGAAATTTGTGTGGATTCCATATCAATTACAAACTTGTAAAAGATCGAAGTCCTTGGATACTGCTAATACGACGAAACATTAAATTGCTCGTGAATAAATATTTTCGCTGAGTAACGTTTCAATTAAAAGTTTGCTTACAATAGCGACTTAGTAATAAGTTAAGAATTTCGTCGGGTCACGCGTTGGTGTTTTTTTTATGTGAGAAGGTGGGAAGCGAGGTGATGGTTCACCTGATGTTAAGTGATAACCGCCGTCGATGGACATCTGCAACAACCGTAGGGTGGCTGATGCGTAGCCACATTTTAATAAAGCGTGTAGGCTACCGCAGTCACCAGGCGGGTAGGTCGTAGTACTTACCCCGACGGACCTGCCCATAACAGCGAAGAATGTTGCGTGGCCCTAACATAGTAAAATGGTAAATATATGTTATAAATGTGTAGGGTGTGTGGTGGCGATATGTTGAGTGTGCGTGGCAGCTACCAATCGCTAAGCGCTTCGGGATACCTGAGTGGTATCGCTTCTCATTGTGAGTGACACGACGGTGGGTCCGTCGGTTTCTGGTGTGCTGCCGACCGCTGCCGCCGTCGCCGCGCGGGCCCCGCACCGCCTGATTGCCTGCTGCACAACACACCGCCGACCCATATCAGACATGTCTGTCGCACGACATCAGCTGCGCAAGTATATGGCACTAGCGCTTGTTCACAACGCAACGGTCGGGTCAAATGTCTTTCCTATCGAAGCGAATCGGATTGGTTAAAAAAAAAAAACAAACAAAGACTGACTTAAGAACACAACAACACAAAAAGTAATGTACAAAAAGCTGTTTCGAAACTGCCGATCGAGGCAACAAAGTGGAAGTTTTTGGCATGTTTAATTAAATGTCGCTGCAAGTGCTGGTTTCGTGTTCAGATTTCGTAAATCCGAATTTGAATTAGGCGCTTGGAACTCGTTTAAGCGTGGCGATACGCGGTGCGCGGTTATCTGACGGGATCGTTGACCTTTGTGGTTGATAAGCGCTTAGGTGAGGACGTTATCAGGTGGCGCAATGCAGACCCGAAAACGCTCAGCCTGAAAAGAGCCATTCGAAAGGTAATGGATTGATACAATAGCGAGCCGAAAGAAACGCGCAGTTTAACGGATTTTCCACCATTTCATTTTTATAACTCCTAATAACAACAGAAAAACTTGCTTATTAAATTTAATATTTATGTAAATTCTTTGCCCTTGTAATTTAAATACAAAATAACGTCGGTCATTAGAGCAGCGGAAATATGAAGCATAGTTTGTGAAAATCGTTCTTTATGAGGATTTGTTCGTAGCAATAAACTATTACGGGGATTATTAATTAAGGCCGTTTGAGAGTAGAAGACTAAAGTCGATTACACTTCACCTAGACTGGGGTTTCGCGGTGCTTTTTCATCATGTTACATAAAAAAAAAGATAGGGGAATGCAATAAATAAAAATAACTTGTCATTTCATTATTCGCTTCATACGCCTTATATGTACGGCAAATGGTAGGAAAACCCATAATATAAATTAATTCAGTAACTTTAATTTACAGATAAAAAGGTTTAAAATGCATTTTTAAACATCTTTTAAGAATCTAATTTGAGAAAGAATATATAAAATTTTAAACTATTAAAATATATAATAAACATTTTATTTATTGGACGTTTAAGTAATATCATTACCGTAATTACGTACGTATTGTATGTTTCTAAAAAAATATAATGTCGGCATTGTTCCGAAACAATGGGCAAGGTTAAAATGGTGTTGAGGATATGGTTATAGCTTACGGCGTTATTTTATAAAATTAAAAAAAGAAAACAATTTTGTGATTAAAGGTAGCAAGTACAGCAACCAAATCGCTTTGAAAGAATAGATTAAATATACACATGAGCATTAAAATTAAATAAAAAATACTTTAAAATTAAATTAAGAATGAAAAAAGTTTTTGAAATGTATATTTTGGAAATGTATATTTACGAGATCGCGTAGTAAATATTACATCATATATCATTCTTTGTAAAAGCGTCCTTCCATAAACAATAAGTAATCCGCTTCGCTTATCATGAAGCACCCAGCCAAGGCAAGAGCTCGATCCTAACCGATGCACATCGCTTACTACTGCATCCGTTTGACTACCATATTTCTGCTACCGCGAAGTGATTTAACTGCCAATTAATATTTGATTGCTATACCACAGTTAAAGTTCTCGCAACGATGCCAACTAAGAGTTTTTGCTACATTTAGATCGAGATTTGTTCGTCGACGCCTACTAAGATTGCGTAGCGTTTATGGCGTACAAAGAAAAGCTGTTAAAAATAAAGATTTCCTTTATACGATCGCTACAGGTAATGGGGGATAACAACACGGTTTATGAGTAGTTTTACAAGCTCCGGTAAAGGGACAATACCATGCATTAGATACGGGGATGATGAACACAAAATGCGACATTTACAGCGCACGTGTTTTCATGCCTTGACGGCTATTTCAATTTTATGAACACCTCCTCACGTTTCACCTCGGGCCAAGGTTTCCTCCATAGGTCCGACTTCGCGTAGAATTGCACCGAAAGCAAAAAAAAGCTGTCTCGCTTCGACAATGCCATGTAGCTAGTGAAACATTACGTGCCAATACGACAATATCGTACTATTGTGATAAAGTGTGGTTGACGTGCGTGTGAGTCAAAAACTAACTAAACGAAATACACATAAATACTGTAACTAGAAATCATATAACAAAACACATAAATTCGAATGAACTGTAAACGAAATCGCGGTCGACGCGCGCTGGACAACGTCATTGCAAGTTGTTTAGGTTGAGCAGTTTTTTTAAGCATCCAAACGCAGGCCGGCCTCATTATTTTAAAAGTGCCAGCGGGCCCGAATATGTTTGCTGCGTTGTACATTTGATTTTAGAATCGATGCTAGTAATATTATACGTTATCTGAACGTCCCCCGTAGAGGCGAGGTCAAAACTAATCACTAATTATTAATCGTTTAACGTTCAATGCACCCGCGTTCTAAATTCGACCGGTCGGGGTACAGATTCAAGATGGCCCCAACGATTGACCCTTGTTGCGGAACCGGGGAGTGCGATGCGCGAGCGGCACGATAATTTTGCGAGTGACCAGCGTACATCGACGGCGACCAATTGACACTTGACCCCGGCGACGCTTTTGTCGCGACCTTGGACTCGTAAGTACTGGGGGGGGGGGGGACCTACTGTTTTGGCGCCTTACGTCACCAATTAAGTTCCATTAATTACACTAGGATTGCACAGCCAGTACTCGCGTGTCGTGGAATTACTAATAGGTAATGATTAGTTCAGGCAACAATGTTAGCAGCGTTTGTTCGAGTAGGGGCTATGTGCGTAAGAACTTACCCTGTGGTTGCTGCTGGGCGATGTATGGGGTGAGCAGACGGGAACGTTTCTTCTCATAGCCTTTCTGGGTAATATCACCTGCAAGGACAAAAAAATCATTGAAACATTTAATCCGTTTTAAGAACTAACATGTTCACTCTTGAAGTGTATAAAAAGTTTATCCTGGAAATTGTAATGAAGCACAATAATAATTTCTCCTACATTTTGAAACATTGATCCCCTTTCAGCTTGTTAGTTACGGACATGTTACTGATAGAATGACCTCGAATTTATCTAACCTTATTTCCTACATAATCTTTCTAATAAACAGGAGATCTGTAGCAAAAGATTTCATTAGAAACGCACCAATGAATAATACGCTATAATATGAATTTTGAATATAGATAGCTCAAAATTTTCACAAAATGTTCATTCCTAATGAAACGCGTCATAATAGTAAAATTATAATCGTCATCGAACGCCTTATATTGTGTAACCGTAACACAAGTGCCAAATAACACTTATATAAATAAACGGGACACAAAGAAACGGAACCGCAAGGGCCGCAACATACGTAACGTATACAATAGAAATGCCTCGTATTACATGAAGCAGGAATTAATATGACGGTGTATAGTAATTAGGGAAGGACCTCTTTACTTGTTAGGCGAGTCTTACTAATCGGACGTTGTTACTTCGACGCAGAAAAAATCGCCAAAAGAAAGGGATTGTAAATGAATAGGGAATACTAAAATAAACTTTTTCGGTGAACGAAACATAAAATCCCTATACAAGACTGTGATAGAAATTTCTATGGCAGTGCCGTCCATTACCAAAAACGTATTCTTAACATGTTGTTTCTGAAAGCCTAAACGTTAAGAGCACTTACGATATAATCACAATAGAAATCACATTTTACAAGTTATGCTTATTTTGGTGCATTTGGAACATTTTATGAGAGTAAAATTTTTACGATGTGCGCACACTGACAGATAAAAAGCGACATGATAAAATTGTATGCAAAACGAAGAGCGCGGAACAACCCATAACAACATTTTGACATTTGCCTATAATTCCAAGTTATTTAATAAAACCGTTATCAATTGCAATTTACACTCTTATTCACAAAAAGAGTAAAACAGGGGATGAAATTTAAATTGTTTATAGTGCTAATCTCTGCACTTAAGATTGAACATTAATTTTAATAAGGGCATGAAATGTTTATTTATTTTTCTTTTGTTACGCTAAAGAAGTATAACTTGTTACGGTACATAAGTATTATACAACCCTCTTTATTTTTATTGAAATAATAATAAAGAGGGTTGACATTTAAGTAATAACAAAAAGAGTTTTTTGAATTAATGCATAATACGAAATTGATCAACTGGTAAGCTGCAAATCTGATCGAAGCCGATAAACCGACGGCATGGACTGAATCGGGATTTTACGCAAATATTAATCTCCGCTAGCAAATATGGAACTTGCTGGCAATTACGGGGCAGTTTGTAACAAGCTCTTTTCAAATACGAAGCAATTTAATTCTTCGGTTTTCATCCGTTTTTGCTGTTCTATCATTAATGTTAACATTTACATCAAATATCTAATAATTACAGATTCAGCAATAAAACTATGTATTGAATTTATGGCACGTGCACTGCATATACAACTTTAAACTATTTTACCTCTTAAAAACGCAAACTAATGGGCTTTCCTTTTAACTAATGGGATTCCGTTTTAACTTACTGCAAAAGCTGTCTCATATTTGAGTGCAATATGCGTCGATAAGTTACAAACTGAACACGCAAAATTCCAAAGGTAAATTTTCACCTTTTTGTGCTCGGTGGCAAAATGGGAGGAATTGCTGTCACCACGGAGGAATGAAAACACTTTTAAATCGCCCCTCCGTTTCAAACACGTAAAACTAACATCATTCAATCATATTATGCATAACTGAAATATAAAAAGTCATGATGATATATTCAAACGACGAGTAGCGCAGGCTACGACCTTGGACGACTATTACAACGAGTTGAGAGCTACGTGTTAAATAAAAACGTACAATGAAAAAAAAAACAACAACAATAGTTTATCTCCTAGGACACGTCCACTGTTCAAATATGAATGCAAAGAACGGTGTTGCGAAACGAGCACGATTTCTACAGGACGAAGGATACAGAATAGATAACACGCTAAACTAATTAATCAATGTAGGCTTGCCATAACTTTATATGGAACCAATGTAAATAATTATGGTTTGTTTAGGCATACCAATAATTTATTATATATACAATTACACGGAATGAAATGCCGCGTAAATATAATAATTTTAAACATAGTTTTGTAGTTTTTGTATAGCGGACAAACTGCTTCAGTTACCATGAATGGAGGATACAGAGCAACTCATCAAAACTTAAACTCAACAAAACAGACAAGAAAAGAAAAACTTACAACCATTCCTTTTTTATTTTTATGAGAAGAAAATCGTATATCTACATCTCAGTCATATAATACCAGTCACGTGACTTTTGGGCTTCATCAAATAAATGTTTTTTTTAATAAAATAAATTGCATACATGACAATAATTTGGTTACGACGTTCGATAATAATAATTTATGAACTGCCGTTAAATAATTTATGATTTCTCTTTTTATTACTTCCGGTTATATAATAACCATGTCGAGCGGGTGTTATAACTTGCAAGTTTCGGTTATATGTATAAGTCAGAGATTTTTAACACTTGTTTAAACTCAGACAAAAGTAACGAATTACAAAATTTAATAAAATGCACACAGATTTCACGTATTCCATAAAATATTAACAGGCCCAATCAGTGAGATAGTTACATATGGCACTGCAGATCTTGTTTGTGAACTGATATTTGATTATCAGCCATGTTATAAATATTTGTGAGACCATGCATTGCAGTATCGTCATTTTTTATCAGCGAAAACGATTGACTGATAAAAAATTGAAATGTTTCAAGTTAATGTTCAAAATAAAATGTAACTTTCTAGTTATAGAGCTGATGAGCTACATCGGAAAACAACAAAACTCGTAAGTAGACGAAGTAAACTCGTAAGTAGAAGAGAGAGAAGTGATATTAAAAATAATTGAAAATATTGTTTAAAAAAAGTGTATTTTATACGAAAATACAGCTAAATGTGTTATGCCAAAGATTAGATGCACACTAATAACAGCAACCCGTCGCTACAAGTGAGCGTGTGTAATATACATGCAGACGAGTCACAGCTCCAAATAGGTAGCCGAGTATTGTTCGAGGACGTTTGACCTGAATTTTAAATCCGACTTCCGATTTTTATAGCCCCTTTATGTGCAAACGCCGGCCGACCATTAGATGCATATCTCTAACGCAATGTGACGGTAACGTTTGGAAATATTAGCCGTACAGACAAACGCGTAAGATTTTTAATCATTCAACAACCATTTAGACGTAAACTCTTTGAGCAGTAACAGCAGAACGTTTTTAACCTTCTTATCGAGAAATTTTTCTATAACTATTTGATATCCAAATACATTATAAATGTTGTAATGTCAATATTAAGATATTATTTAGATGCGATTATGCAAATTATTATAATGGATTATCGATATAATTTAGAAACTAGTGACCAAATGGACAGCAAAAAATTCATTATTTTGTCTCTTAAACCAGATTATGGGTCATCATCATCATCATCATTTCAGCCTGTTTGAGTCCACTGCTGAACATAGGCCTTCCCCATAGCCTGCCACGAAGTACGATCCTGAGCCATCTGCATCCATCGACTTGCCGCACATTTGCACAGGTCGTCAATCCATCTAGTAGCGGGTCGTCCTACGAATGGGCAGCGTTCGGAAAACTTTGGCAAATCTTCTCGTCGAATATAACTCAATGTTTGAAGACTAAAGTCTTCAATCAAAGTGTGTTGCCAGTGATGCCACGGAACCGAGGCGTGGTCCTTCACTGCTGGTCGAATGATTATGCGTATAAACTTGTATATAAATTCTACAGTTCTAGCCACAAACCCGTCACATCGATAGTCAACATAGACTATGACATTTGAGCTATTGAAGAAAACGAATGGGTGCGAGTGAATGCTATTGAGTAACTAGATAACATGGAGATAAGATTATACGACCATTGAGCGCTTTAGAGAAAAGAAATTTTATGAAGCGTATTTTCCAATGGAAGCGGTGTGCAACGGATGCCGGCGGATGTAATAAGTATTAAAATTTGCATAGATTTTAGGCATTCACGTGTGTCAAAACGTACAAAGCTATCTCTTTCAAAGAGTCTAGCAATCAACGCTGTCTGTGTATGAAATATGACTGCGAAATTTTGTTCGCACTAACGTTAGTACGTTCAAAGTATAATTACCCTAAATTTTTCCCTGGTACCCATTTGTTTTAAATTTAACGTATAATTTTACGCGAAAGCTCTTTTCAAAATATTAATAATAATCAATTAACTATTACTAAAATAAGTAATAGTTAATTGAAACACACTGGAAATTACTAATTGGAACATTATGTTCATGCTGTTATTAAAACCGGCACGTCATACGGCAGATAAGATTATAATATCTGCATTACATAAATAGTGAGACTAGGAAGAAAGAAAACAATGTTACATTCAATATTCGGTAAAACTTTGCTTTATAAATATATATTATAAATTTAATGGATATTAAAAAAAAACATCTTTTCTTATTCATAGCAGACTTCTAACAATTTAAAAAAAACTTTTTTTTTATGGAGGAAAGGGGCAAACGAGCAGGAGGCTCACCTGATGGTAAGTGATTACCGCCGCCCATGAACACCTGCAACACCCGAGGGCTCACAAATGCGTTGCCGGCCTTTTAGAAAAGAGTATGCTCTCTTCTTGAAGGTTCCCAGACTTACGTCATTAACGATGAACCCTTGCGAAAATAGTTGAATTAATATAAGCCTTGCCAAAGATTTTTTATAATTTATAGTGCACTAAAACTTCGTAACAAAATAGTCTGAATATTGTGTTTAAAAGAAGCTGTATAAAATCTAACGACCATACCCTTTCAGCATCTCTGACGAAATAGGACAGTAAAGAGAACTGTTTTCT